ACCTGGGGAGGTCAAACCCCATGCACCAGTACAGGATGGGGGCTGACCTGCTAGAAAGCTCTGCTGAGAGGGACCTGGGAGTCCTGGTGGATGACAAGCTGACCATGAGCCAGCAGTGTGCCCTTGTTGCCAAGAAGGCCAATGGTATCCTGGGGTGCATTAAGAGGAGAGTGGCCAGCAAGTCAAGGGAGGTTCTCCTCCCCCTCTACTCTGCCCTGGTGAGACCCCACCTGGAGTACTGTGTCCAGTTCTGGGCTCCCCAGTTCAAGAAAGATGAGGAACTCCTAGAAAGAGTCCAGAGGAGAGCAACTAGGATGATAAAGGGACTGGAGCACCTCCCCTACGAGGAAAGGCTGAGAGAGTTGGGCTTGTTCAGCCTGAAGAAGAGAAGACTGAGAGGGGACCTCATCAACACATACAAATATCTTAAGGATGGAAGTCACGAGGACAGAGCCAGACTCTTTGCAGTGGTGTCCAGCGACAGGACAAGGGGCAATGGGTGCAAACTGAAGCATAAGAGGTTTCAGTTGAATATGAGGAAAAAATTCTTTACTCTGAGGGTGACAGAGCACTGGAACAGGCTGCCCAGGGAGGTTGTGGAGTCTCCTTCTCTGGAGATATTCAAAGCCCACCTGGACGAACTCCTGTGTAACTTGCTCTAGGAGAGCCTGCTTTAGCAGGGGGGTTGGACTAGATGATCTCCTGAGGTCCCTTCCAACGCTTGCGATTCTGTGATTCTGTGATTTAGACTTCGTCATTCCTCCAACTACTAAAATTTATATTAGTAGTCCCACTGAAGTGAAGTGATGGCCTCAGGAATTCATACACAGTTTGAACAGGGGACCCTGTGCTAGACAGCATATTTAATGCCCAAAAAAGGGATAATTTTCTTACTTTCGTACAGCGTCCAAGACAGCAAAGAAGTCAAATCTACAATGAGAGGGAACATTCATGCTTTGGTACAACTATACTAATTGAGGATAGTCTCAGTAAGCGGAGCATACCAGGACAGAGCATTAGCTACTACTCAAAGCACAATACTTTCTTCCTTGGGAACCAGGAATATTGACTAATCAAGAAATAGTCTAAGATTGGACATTAGTCATTTGACAAAACTGAGCTGGATATCACTCAACAAAGGGGACCAGAGAAAAGACTTCTTACCAATGATTACAGAAATCAGAGGTATTCCAACAGGGGACCGAGTCAAATAAGATCTTCAAAGACTTAAACCTAAGACTAAAAAGGTTTGAAAATAGAGAGAAGGGAAAACATGCAGGCTCTTGCTGTTTTATGTAACTGCATATTTCCGAGTTAGCCAACTAAAACATGTTTGCCCTTTTAAAATCTGTCCCACCCCCATACATCTGCCTTCCTCAGTTCTCATCTATTCCCCCCCACACACACCTGAGACTCTGGAAAAGATATTTTTAAGCTATTAACAGTACAAATGGATCCCTGTAAGGACCTTAAGCCAGCTGAGTTGCAAGATCCCATTCTTATCAATGGCAACAGAGACCATATGTACAGAAGGCATGCCAAAAATCACAAGGAAGAGAGACAACAGAAGAAACCCTCTCAAACTAAGAAAACCTTGGAAGTCAGTATGATGAATGGCTGTGCCATGGGTGAGGATGAAAGACGCAGGTTTTTCTTTAACTAGCAAGTCACACATCTTTAAGAAAACAATATATGCTAAGAATATTAATGATCTCTCTTCTAGTTTCCCTTTCTGTAGCAAAGGAAAAAATAACATGCCTTATTGTTGGGACTAGAGCATTAGATTAGTTTACTGCTTAACAACTGTGACTAAAGTACACTATTGCAGGAAAAATATAATTGGGAGCATCAGAATATACCCTTTCTAGTAAACGGAAATAATCTTAAACCTCATTACAAGTGCTTTTATCAATTTTAAGGTATACAAGTCTCCACTTTAAATGCTTCCTTGAATGTATATGCATTCGCTCTTGCAGCTGGGGATGCTGCTTGGCTTTGCAGGTTTTGTGCTGTGGTGAGTTGGCCCTTCAGAGATGGTTGCTCCTGACATGGAATGTCAAAACACGAAGACTAACTATGAAATTCAAAACTCTATGACATGTAGGCAGGGAGAATATTTTTTCCACGTATGCTAAATAACAAGCCCACCGTATTTTACCATCGTTTTGCTCAAGAATTTTGGGGGACTAGCTATGTAATGCTGCCATCATCTGGCCTCTCTCAACAGCATGAAAGCCAATGAGTATTACAATACAGAAAGTGTTTACACTCATTACTACATTAATCTCTTTGGTTTTGACAAAGTGCAAAAAAAAAAATAAATACCAGCCATCTTTCATATTCCTCCATAGCCTTTTTATCTTTTTCTTCCTTCTTTGCCTGTTGTATTTCTTGGTTTCTTCTCTCTAGGATTTTTTCTACTTTCTTCTGTTTCATATATTCTTCCTTTTTTTCATTCCTGTATAGTGAGAGGGAAGAACAGGAAGAATATCATGCAACAGACTAAATGCTACATCTGTGACTGATTAACTAACTTGAGTCAAAAGAGGTATTTTACGCATTTAATAAAAGATTGAGAAGATATATTCAAAATCTTCAAAGTCCATCTTTATATATAATATCACCAAGACACAAATGAACCTGCTATTCTATCTATTATGGCATCACCTTTTCTGTACGACTTTCTCCCTTATTTGGTATCATATAAAAAACGAGATTAAAAACTTGTGTGGGTAATAGTAAGTTGCACGTGGTCTGTGAAAACTCTTGGGTTGTAGAACTAACGAAGAATTTCTCCAGCAGACACATCTCATTTTCTTCTGAACACATCTACATTCATACATTGTATTCCACAGAACAAAGATTTACCTTCCTTCCTATGGCTTAATAATGTAGCATGAGGCTAATCACATCAGACATTATACTACTCAATGAATCTTACTTCTCAGTTGCACTACCTCTGCCTGGGCTTAGTCAGTAGCCTTTTGGGGAGGAAAGTGTTTAAGTTACTAAACTGAAAGAAGCTTTACAGCTTGTTCTCACTGTTATACTTGTCCTCCATTGGGACTGAAGAGCCTGATCCCAAGCACGCTATGATCTCCCAATTAAAAGCACACCAAGCACTCACAGAAGACTTATTGCATTTATAAGCAAAGATTTGGGAAACTACAATATTCTAAAACCCAGTGGAGTAGTACCACTTTTCAACTGCTGACACGCTGTCTCTCTTCTTCTCTGCGATCAGTTCCTCTTCTTTCTTCTTTCTCATTCTTTCAGACTGTTTTTCCTTTCTGCTTTGCTCTCTTAAATATTCCACTTTTCTTTCTTTCCATTTTTCGAATGCCTAAAGAAAACCACAGATTCATTAGAAATCTTACTTGTCACTTTTTTGCCAGTACTCCACTTGCTTATTCTATATTATTATTTTTTGTAATTTCTTAATTGTAACACATTCCAGTTTTGGATTACTTGTTTGTAGCACTGCTCAGAAGTGGATATCACTATATCTAAAAAGAATAAATTGTTTTTCCCAGTAAGTAATAGATCATTGCCAATATATTTATATGGAATTTGTTTTACGTTCAGTTAATAGAATCCAAAACATGGAACAACGTATGTTTGCATGCAAATGTAAACATTACATACTTCCAACAGAACAGAATCTAAAATAAGCTTTCTTCAGAAAGTAACCATGCTTAGATTTTAGAATCTAGTTCATTTCCATCTCTTGCTGGATTAATCAAAATTATTCTCAACAATCTCCTGAACCATATCCAACACACATTTACGTACGTATTTCACATCACCTTCTGTGCTGCTTCTGTTTTCTCCTCATCCTCTTCTGCTGCTTTCTTTTTCTTAAGTTCCTCAAGCTTCTTTTTTTCACTTAACTTCTTTGCTTCTCTTCCTTTCTTTTTTTTCCAGGCTTCAAAAGAGGCAATTGCTTCCTCTCTTTTAACAGCCTCTTTCTAGATTGAAAATAACATTCTACATTTATATACACTTGGATATAAAACCAGAATTGAAACGATATGCTTTAAACTGATTGTCAAATGTAGGTTTAGATGGAGCAATAAAGAAATGGAAATCGATTTGCAGACAATATTCAAAGAAATACTCAAAGTTAAATTTGAACTATACAGAGAGAGTTTTTCATATGTTCATGTTTAATGTAACTTAATCGAATGAGACAAACTACTTCTGCAAAATATGTCTAAAAGAATATGAAATACATGTTAGATGTGTAGAAGGGAAACATATTAAATACTTAAAAAGCCAAATCTAAGAATTGTCTATGGTACTATTCAAATACAGTCCTCTGTAGATAAGCATCTCTTGAGATAGGGAGCAAACTCATTTTCTAACGGATGACAAATTAAAACTTAACACCTGAAGGGTTGAGGATACCAAGGTCTTTGTAAGCAAAGCTGAAAAATAATCTAAGCACCACGCTTTTAACATACCTTACGTAACTGTGTAGG